AAGTGTGATAATCCGGTTATTTTTTCAAGGATGTTGACGCATGCTTTTAGTATCACGGAATAAAAAAGGATGCGAAAGTCTATAAATTTGATTGCCTCTTCTTCAATCAGTCATGTCCGTTTCAGACTTTTGTCGCATGCTCGGATTGAGGCCGACATCATCCCATTTGTCATCATGTAATATGGAGTTCGAAACGGCTGATGATGCATCTTCGGTCGCTTCTGAACACTCAAATGGTAGATACTCACCTGCTGCTGATCGCAGACATGGCGGACGACATCGTCTCACCAATGGTGAGTCTCATTTAATTTACCTGTTTATGCACTATTCTTTATTTGTTCAGTGAGAAAGAGGAGAGGGGAGGGAGAAGGATCAGTGATCACTTTGATCGCGGAGATCTGCGCCGCTGGAGTTAGAGAATAATCTGGAGAGCGTTACCATCTGGGGCAATTGTGCTTCAACATTCTGGTGTTCTGGTTACTAGGGAAAGGAAGCGGGTGATATAGTATGAACACATGGTATTAACACCCTAGCCATACCAGTGTAGTGCATCGAAATATGCTACCTCTTACAATGCACATCGTTTTTTGTTTTTTGGAATAGTCTGCCCTTAGCCCGCTTATCGCAAAAGCATTTTTTCCTATTTGATCGTTTTGTGTTCTGCTACAATAGGACTTTCAGGAAAACCCCACAGAGAAAAACATGAGAGAAGCGCATCACCCAGATCAGTGACTAGTGAAGGTCAAAACTCCAGTGCTGGTTCAGGATCAAGGTCTAAGGTGTGCGACTGCTAACATTTTTCTCTAGATTTTGTAGTACTATATGCTTGTAGTACAAGTGTAGTTCCTCTTTTTCAACTAACTTATTCATAAGGAAGGCACGCACAAAGTTTCTTTCAGCAAGTTTAAGATAACAAAACAGTCGGTCATTCAAATACTAGTTCAGATGAGAATTTATGTTGCTCACATGATTGTCGAGAATCGACACAATTTTTGCGCAATGCCTCTTCTTCGGATGGAAAGAATGCCAGTCTGTTGCGGGTTAAGCATAAGGCCGCGTTCATAATGATCCAGAAGTTCGGGAACAGTTGTGTCTCTGAACCTGTGGATCAGTATACACGCAGCCTAGACCTGCTTTTGGAATACTGCGGTTCTCCGCCTTTATAGATTCTCTTATTCTACTCTACCGCTTCTTTGTAGTTGCAATAGCGCGATGATTTAGGAAAAGCGTGCATATCGTAATGAGATTTTCATTCACACTGGCCACCTTCGCCTTCAGGTTTGCAATTGCAAATCAACTGTAGGGGCTATATTCACAAGGAGTTTTTCGATCACTCATTCATGAGTTGCTCCTTGAAACAGTCACTGCTACTTTTGTGTGCCTTA